GGAGGTGAGGAGGAGCGCTGAGAGGAGGAGCACTGAGAGGAGGAGCATCAACGACTCGTCAGTATTAACAGAGCTTGTAAATTCTTGTAAAATCTGCTCCTAACCCTCTGCTTGTAAAATCTTGTAAATGAGTCCTCGAGGCTCAGTGGGATTAACCGTCTAAATAAAGTTTGAATGAAAAAATATGTTTCATTTATTCTTCTGTAAAGTGACAAACGACCAACTGGATTAAAATTTATAAATAAAGCTGGATTAGATCGAGTTACTAGAACAAATACATCAAAATAAACTTTATCCAGTATTTTTAAGCCAAGCTGTTGATTTCATTTTAACGTTAAATGAGGCTCTTGCAGCTATGCACCTTGTCCAGGTCAGTATTGATAATTAATTCCATTTAGACGATGTAAGGATATTATTGTGAATTAGTAACTGATCATATCCAGATGTTCGAGTTTGATCTTTCAGTGAAACATCAGCGCTGATCTTTCCTGCAGAAGACGACTGACCTGAAGCCACCACGGTGCTCGCCCACAGGCTGTTCTCAATGCTCAGACTCTCGTGGATCTGCGGGTCCGAGTCCTCCTGCAGGAAACAGGAAACAACTTGGATCAAAGCCGACACCTCGTCACTTTATATTTCACGAACTACTCCTGAAAACTCGTGCGACGATGAATCTGACTCAGCAGATCAAAGTCAAACTAATTTCATAAATTTAAAGTCTAAACTACATCCGTCTGTTCAAAAGGTTTCAGCTCGTCTCTTCACCAGGAGTCAGCCCTTTGAACCTCCCTGATCCAACCCGGGCTCGAACCTGCAGCCTCAACAGTACGAGACGAGGCCCTGACCACCGAGCTACCGCGCGAAACACTGGTGCTGCAGGATCTCAGAGGTCCTCCTGATCCTCCTCTATCAAGAGCCCACGGGTGTGTCAACACAATGCCAAGACGGAAAGACATCAGCAATGACCTCAGAGGAGCAGTTGTTGCTGCCAGTCGATCAGTGAAGGGTCAAAGGTCATCTGGAGTCCATGTTCCACAATGCCAAGACGGAAAGACATCAGCAATGACCTCAGAGGAGCAGCTGTTGCTGCCAGTCGATCAGTGAAGGGTCAAAGGTCATCTGGAGTCCATGTTCCACTGAGAGAAAGATTCTTCAGGAGTGGTGAGTATTTCAGACAGCTGACTCACCCTGAAGGTCAGACCATGCAGTGACTGTACAGGCCTCAGTCAGCAGGTCAAAGGTCAAAGGGCATGACTCAACCAGTATCGATAAACACATTTTAACAAACTATAGACCCATATCATTGCTACCACAATTTTCTAAAGTTCTGGAAAAATATTGATAAAAAGGCTGAACTCCTTTCTTAATAAATACAATCTATTAAACGAGCACCGGTACGGTTTTAGAAACAAGCACTGCACAACTTTAGCTGTGATGGAGTTTGTGGAACATGTTGCTGCAGCAGTTGGTCAGAAACTTACCACAGTTCATTGATTGATGTGAGACATCTGACACTGTTGACCATGAACGAGTACTGGGAACATGTGAACAATGTGGCTTACTGGGAGTTACACATCAGGGGTTAGAGTTATTTGAGTAATAGCTTACAATATGTACAAACAACACAAAGTCACTAATTGAAACTATAAAATGTGGTCTTCCTCAAGGATCAGTTCTAGGACCTAAATTATTTATACTTTATATAAATGATATTTTTAACAGTATCCAGTATTTTGAAATTTATAATGTTTGCTGATGATACAAACTTTTTCTTTTCTGGAAAGAATATGGACAAACTAATACAAATAGTAGAAAAAGAGCTAGCTGAGGTAAAAAAAGTGGTTTGATTATAATAAGCTCTTTAAATAAAAAAAATAAATAAAAAAAATTATGGCATTTTCAGGTAATCAGATTTATAATAATGTAAAGTTACAAATAAATGGAGTTGAAATCAACAAAGTTTATAAGACAAAATGTTTAGGTATCATTCTGGACAACAAACTTAGTTGGAAGCCTCATATTAAATATATTAAAAATAAAATTGCAAAAACTATTGGAATATTGTTTAAAATAAAAGATTTAATAAATGTTAAAGTCTTGCATATTATAACTTCCTTGATTATGCCCTACTTGTCATATTGCTCAGAAATATGGGGAAATGCAAATAAAACTACTATTGACATATTATTAGTTACAAAAAAACAATTAGGCTTATTAATAAAGTGGGATATTGTGAACCAACTAATAAATTCTTTATTCAAAGTAATACTTTAAATTTTAATGACATTGTTTATGTAAAAATACTGGAAATAATGTATAAAGCACTGAATAAAAGTCTTCCTTCTGGAATTCATAAGTTATTTAAGAGAGAGTAAATATAATTTACGAGGTTTGTTAATATTTGAACAAGCTAAAGAGAAAAGTAAAATCCAGATGTATTTCAGTTATCGGTGTGAAACTTTGGAATGAACTGAATGATGATTTCAAATTATATGTTTTTTTGATGAGCTTTAAAAGAGCCTTAAAATGTAAAATTATAAAAGCTTATGGAGCTGTAATGTAGATGTATATATGTATTGTGTAACCATGTATGTAATGTGAGTATGTGTATGTATTATGTACATGTATATTTAAATATACAGTAATTGTCTGTGTGTGTATTATGTACATGTATATTTAAATATTTAAATATTTAAATATACAGTAAATGTGTGTGCGTGCGTGTGTGCGTGCGTGCGTGCGTGTGTGTGTAGACAGTAGATATCTGTCATGACGCAGACCGATGAGTCTATGAACAGAGTAGAAGAATAAATCTGGACTTCAGCCTTTTTTGGTAAATAATCGATTTACCATTTTATATTGTTGTTCCCTTTTTTGTAATGTTTTTAATTTACCAAAAATAAAGTTGAGTTGAAAAGTTGAAAGACCAGAACCAACGGTCCAGTCAGAGTCCAGAACCTGAACCTGACTGAGACGCTGTGGTGGACCTTCAGAGAGCTGAGCAGAACCCTCAGTGATGGAAAGAAGAGCGGGTCAGAACTCCTCCAGAGCCAGAGACTAACAGAAAACCACAGAGTTCTGGTTCTGGAAGAGGTTCTACAGGCTGCTGGGTCCAGTTTTCACTTCGGGCTCATCAGATGAGAACGTTTGTTTTTCTTTCTCATTTTCTCGTCTTTTCGTTTGAGCGAAGACAAAAACCGTTTCAGAAAACTTTGACTTCTTTAAGTGACACTTGCAGCCGGGACAGCTGGGCAGGAAGGCTCGATGTGCCGTCAGCTGAACCGGGTCCTCCACAGAACCGGGCTCTTATCGAGGCTCATTTTAAAATGGGTGCTGAGAGCAAAACCTGAAGGAGACTTGAGCGATGAACCGGCCCCAGGAGGACCTCTGATTTCACCGCTCCACCACCGGCTTGAGTCCGGAGCTCAGAGCCGAGGCTCCGGTTTCGGCTCCGGTTGCCTGCCTCATCTGATAATTATGATACCTAACCGTCCACTTCCTGTCACGCCACGCAAACGTTGACGATGTGCATGAAAAATAAATGTCCGGCTGCAGAACGCTCCGACCTTCAGAACTGCAGCCGCTCGACAAACCAAGTAAAAAATAAAACGGTTCAGGACGAGCTCAGCTGCTGCAGGTCTGTGGGAACTCCACTAAAAGCACTCGCTTTGCAAAGGAAGGCCACGGAGGATGAATGAGCGCAGGAAGTGCTCGCTCACTGGGCCTGGTGTGTGGCCAGGAGTGAAGCCGGACCACAAAGACCCCCTTTGTCCCGCAGCCCTGCTCTCTGCGGGGGCCGCACTAATCTGCCATTAATAAAAAGAAGAAGAAGAAAATGAGTGAGCAGCAGGACTGAGCGGAGCAGGAAGCCCGACAGGCCCAGACGGACAAAACGCTTCCTTGTTGTCACCCGTCGACACTCGGACCGGGTCCGACCGGGTCCTGACAGAACCTGGTTCAGGTTGTTCACAGGTGATAAACACGTGCAGAGCAGCCGTACCCGGGTGAACGTCCCCTCGAAGCTGTGGATGTCCAGCTGGGGCTTCTGGGCGTAGACGTAGGCGTTGATGGAGAACAGGTCCTGAGACGAGAAGACAAAAAACATTTAGGTTCATTCAAACATTAGTGTCTGCTGCACCGAGCTTCACCGAGAGTACAGGGCCGCTCCACGTTCGGCTACTTCAGCTACTTTAGCCACTCAGAGATAAAAACGTTCGGCTCGTTCAGCAGAAGGCCGCGGTGACGTTTGGCTTTTTAACTTTTCTAAAAGATTAATTTTATTTACTAATGTTTTCACATTAAAATCTCTTAAATCCGTTTTAAAATTCTGTTTGAAACCAGTTTCATCTGCCGCCCGTTGTGTCTCTACGATGACTTTAGCTCGTGCTCGTTTAAACCTTTAGCTTCCACTTCCAGGAATTTCAGTTTAAGTTGGAACAATGAACAGTTTGGAGTCCGTGATGTCAAAACAAAAAACAGAAAGAACTACATGTCGTACGTCTCATCAAACTTTTAGGGAAATATCATAAACACAAATCAAAGGTCAGTCACTCTATTTCCTCTTTCCAGGCCAAGAAGTCTGAACACTGTAAACATTTGATGTGTGCTTTTTATTTAACGTGTTTATTTGAATTATCCCCCCGGCTTCTGTTTGTTCTTTTATTCAGGTCAACGTATATCGATAACTGTCGTTTAATGTTTTATTTTTAATAAAGGAAAAAAATCTGCTTCGAAAGGCTAGGTTTGAGAGGACAGGAAGTGCAAACAGAGAGGACAGGAAGTGCAAACAGAGAGGACAGGAAGTACAA